ATTCTTCCACTATATTCCCTAGCCTACTTCTCCAGAGTCAGGCCCAAGGTTCCTAATACCTAGCTCAAACTGTTCACAAAAAAATGAATACATACAAACATGGGGAGGGAGGAAGGAGCAGGAAGCTGCTCAATTTAAGAAAAAGAAAACCAGTGAAAGACAACAAATCGTATCAGGTTACTTCACTAAACATGTCAGCTAGTGAAGGGCAAGGAAGTAACTTCATTCCCAATTTCTATATATATTTTTTTTCTTTCCTCAAATACATGACAAAAATCAAAACTCAAAAAAAACAATAGTGGTCTTCATCAATTGCAACATGATTTTGTTGAGCGCCATACCTTTTCAAAGGCTACAAATGCGTGCTCAGTAGGAGTATTGTTGACATGGTTGGTCTTTGCTGCCTCGATAAAATAGGCTTGCTTCCTACACTGGCTGTATCCTGTTTCTGTATTGATTACATAACATTTCTGCATGTTCTAATATGTAAACATTCTTTAAGCCTAGTTTTTTTTTTTTTAGTTCTACCACTTTATTGCTACCAACCCATCTCCCTCAACCCTCATGCACACGTGCTCAGCCATGCAACCCCGTGGACTGCAGCCCGCCAGGCTCCTCTGTCCATGGACTTTTTCAGGCAAGAATACTGGAGTAGGTTGCCATTTCCTTCTCCACCAATTTCTATATTTTTTATTCCCATGAAATTACTAAGACCACTTAAAAAAATTTATTTGTTTATTTATTTGGCTGTGCCGGGTCTTAGTTGAGGTATCTGAGATCTTCATTCTTGGTTGCAGAACGCAGGATCTTTAGTTGTGGCTTGTGAACTCTTGGTTGCAGCATGGGGATCTAGTGCCCTGACTAGGGATCCAACCCGGGGACCTGCACTGGGAGTGTGGAGTCTTAGCCACTGGACTACCAGGGAAATCTCTCTGACCACTTTTTGAAATGTACTGTTCCCTGCTTGTGCCCAAAAAATGATGCATGTGTCAGTAATTTTAGGTTTAATATGTGTAAAATTAAGCATATTGATGAAAAATTGTCTAGTAAATTTTTGCATAGGAAGCATTTAAAAAAACCCTTCATCACTTACTTGATTCATTAATTCAGTCAAACATCTATGAGCTATTGCTTCGTAAGTCCCTACTACAAAAACGTCACAATCCAAAACAAGGAGTGATCCCTTGGCACCCACTTTCATTTTAATAGATGACAACTCTGCTGATTTACACATGATAAAAACAGGACGGAGGCCTTTCCAGCCCCCCAGTCTTAGGCTGGAAGGAACGGGCTGTCTGGACGAGCAGCTCTGACCCCCAGCGCCTCCTCCCCACCAGGGGGACCACGCTGGGCTGAGCAACGGCTGCCGCCAGACAGGCCTCGGTTCCTCCCGGCGCTGCTTCAAGGCCCAGAACATGCAGGTGTAAATGCATCTGTCTTCTGCCATTTGCAGTGCTACTGGCCTTGCGAATGTCTTTGAGTAAGACAGATGGTCCCTGACACTGCATAGGCTTTCAGGGACGTATCTTTCCATAAAGAAGAGGGCAGATGTGAAGCGTGGTAAGCACACGTCTATCCCCTGAAGGTTTGGGTTGAGGTTCCCATCTAAACTTGGTTATTTAAATACAGGATCCTAAGCAACTCTTGGAAATCTCTATGCTAGAAATGTATTTTTTAATGTTTATTTTATGCCATTATGGCAAATATCCAGGACATGGAATATATATGCAACTAGATATAATATCAGGTGAGCTGGAACTTAATGCCTATAAATGAGTCAGCGCTATGTTCTCTTTCTACATAATTCATGTCAAATATTTCTGTAAATTTTATTTTTTAAATGCTAGAAAACGCATTTCATTGAAGCAAGGTTAGAGTAAATTAGGATTTCCACAATGACCTGGAAAATTAAAAGACTATTTGCTCATCACTCTGGTGACCTTAATGTGGTAATCAAAATCCTCAGGAAACACAATAAAACTTGATGGAAATAATGCAAGTGTGCTAACTGCAGCTTAAGAAATTTTTAAAAATTTAAATAAAAATGAAATGACTATAATCTTGAAGTCTAATGGGAGAAATACAATCATTCAAATCATTAGATGTGCTTTGGGATGTGCTTCAAATCTCAGCATATGTCAAAAATGGAAATTCAAGGAATATCTTACTCTCTCAAAACAAGTACTACTTTTGGTTAGTCAAAACACATGTAGTCAATGAAATTGCTAAGTGTTGAGATAGTAAAACCACAAACTACATTCTGAAAATTCTATGACCAAATAGTACTATAAGAATTATATAGACAAGGACAGAAAAGTCTAGCATCCTGCAGTCCATGGGGTCGCAAAGAGTCGGACATGACTTAAAGACTGAACAATAGCAAAGAATTGTAAGTAACGTCACAAAAGCAATTTCTGAATATAGTCAACAAACCTGCAGAAAATGGTTTAAGAGTACTAGGTCTTATAATCTAGCAGTAACCAGCATAAGTTATGAATACTATCATCAAAGTGTTTTTTTGTCACTGTAATCTGTGTTAACAGGAAGAGAAAAAAAGAGTAGTAGGAGGGGAGGGAAAAAAAGAGAGTGGATGGGGTAATTTACGGAGCACTAAAGCTCTGCCACAAGTAAAGAATTCATTACAGACAACAAACATATAAAAGAAAAAAACTAATAAAATGAGTTTTTGGTGGATGTATATGTATGTGCATGCGTGTATATGGAGTGAGAAAAGATAAATAAGGCAAATTCATTAAACTGTTAACATTTGGAAAATCTGGGGATGCAGCAATTTCCTTTTTTATTAAATTAATTTATTTATTTTAATTGGAGGGTAATTCCATTACAATATTGTGGTGGTTTTTGCCATACATCGACATGAATCATCCACGGGTGCATATGTGACCCTCCAACCTGAAGCCCCCTACGACATCCATCCCCAGGAATTCCTTTTACTGGTCTAATAACATTTTTTTTTCCAGTAACTCTAAATGAATCTCTATCAAAATTCTGGAAATTAAAATCCAAGGACTCATTGTGAGACAAATATTAATTTTTCTCTCTAAACACTTAAAGAAAGGACATGCTAAAAAGAATTTTATTTTTTTTTTTAAGAATTTTAAAATTTGGCAAAAATAAAAGGGTTTAAGAACTGAGATAAAAGCCCACCAAAAAAATGATACATGTATCATAAACTAATATTAATTTCAAAGCACACAATTAAAATTCCTATCACTTAATTCATTAATAAATAATTATTAAATTATCTAGGATACAAGAAACATAATACACATGCTCTAAAAAATCTAGGAACTGTGACCAAGTTTTTAAAAAGAAAAGGAAATATAAAAGTTATCTAAGTTCATACAGTATGGTAGCTTAGGAAGAGACTAGATGATTAATAGTTTCTACCCATCTAAGGACAGACAGAAAAGAATAGCGAGAGACAATAAAAGAGGTGTGATGGAAGAGAGACAGTAAAAGAGGTGTGATGGACTTTATCTTTTTATCATGCAAAGTTTCAAAGATCTGCAAAAGTAAACTCACTTTCTAAGAGAGTGTTAGTCGCTTAGTCATAACCAACTCTGTGAGACCCAACAAACTCTAGCCCACCAGGCTCCTCCGTCCATGGGATTCTCCAGGCAAGAATACTGGGGTGGGTGGCCACTCCCTTCTCCCGGGGATCTTACCGACCCAGGGATCGAACTTGGGTCTCCTGTACTGCAGGTGGATTCTTTACCATCTCAGCCACCAGGAAGACCCCAGAAAACTCACTTTCTAATTCTTCCCACAAATACTTTGAATTAAATTCTAACATCACACAATTTCAGGCACAGAACTTCAGTCACTATCTTAGAAATAAAATAAAAATCACAAGGAACAATTTTGAGTGTTCTTTCACTTATATTCAGGAAAGACAGACCAAAAAAGGTACAATTATGTACGGATGTCTGTGAATGAAAAAATACTAAGATTATGATTCAAGATTGAGTCCCATTTTTACTTGAAACATGTCAGGACAGCCGAGTGGTCTAAGGCGTCAGACTCAAGTTTCTACTTACCATTTTTATTTGATTCTATATCCCAGAAATGTATCATTATCCAAAGAAAAAAGCCAGCTACCCGTAAATATAAGTTCATAACCCCTTTACTATTCATAGCCACTCTTATTTATTTTAAAATAAAGAAACTAAAAGAGGAAAGGGAAGTAAAAATTCTACTTAAACTACTACTGAAGGGTTAAAAAGCTGAAATCAATTTTTAAAAACAGCCAAATGATTTGTATCACAAGATGCCAGATTTTGGAGTGAGGTTTGCTGTTTCCCAGCTTCTTTTTTTTTCCCCCTTAATACAATACAACCTCAATTTCTACATTCAAAAAAGGATCACTTTATAGGAAAACACCACTCCACTAGACAGAGGGTCAATTTCAGTGTCACAGTGAAATCTGGAGCTCAAAGGCCTGGTCCCTGAGAATAAGTATTTCTTCTTACAAAAGTATCTCATGTCAGCACTTTACCACCTAGCACAACAATAATGACAGATCATTATATGTAAATGGTACCTCAATATAGACGTTTTTTCAAAGTATCAGAAGCATGGTAGTCATATTAAGTTCTCTCTCCTTAGTCAAAATTTGGGGGCCATTATAAATCCAGATCATGTCCACAAAAATCAAGAAAATGAAATTGTACTACTTTCGGACAAAGCCACAAGGCAGGAACTACAAGATTGAGTATGGATCTGGTTTTCATTAGCCAATACTAGTTTTCACAACTTGTCACTGCTTTGTTTTTTCCTATGACTGTGTGTGTGCATGCTTGTGCATGAACATGTTTGCGCATGTTCTATACTTTGTACTTAATCAGCTGCCATTAAGTCTCATGTGGGCTGGGAATGAAGAACATAATCAAAACCACCCAAAGAAAAAGTATGCTTTATTTTTATGTGTTTAATCCTCTAAAATAGCTATTAAAAAAGTATCAAGCCTGAGGCCTTACCCTGTTCGTTTGGTGATGGTACCAAGTGTCATTGGCTGTTTGATTTGGGCGAGAGGCATCAACACCATCAGGCTGGGGAGAGGAGAGAGGCGAGGGTTGCCGGGGTTGTTGTTGGCAAAATTATTGTAGGAGTCTTGGCTGTTGAGCTTCCCTATAAAGAGAAAAAAGAAAAGAAAAGCATCACCAAGAGAAATTTCCTTCTCTGACAGGACTTGCACTGGCTCCACTAATCTTTTAAGAAAGTTATCAAAGGCAGACATGCTTCTAAAAGAATCATGACTCTATAGAAGTGGGGGAAAAAAACAAAGGACTCTGGTAATACCAAACAAGACTTGACTATGAACAGAGACTTTAGTCTTTGAGGATGGAGGCTTGAAGGATACAGAATTGGATAGATGTTAAATGGTTATACAAATAATTGGTATAAAACTGAATTTTATGGTGCTACAAAGAAATAGAGGATAATAAGAGAAAAAAAATGAAAAGGTCTAATTTAGTCTAAAGGAAGCATGGAACATTTCCTTAAACAAGCTTGGGAGTAAGAAGAGGAGAATATTCCAGCCATGGCAACCTATAAAGCCTCAGAGGGCAGAAGAAACATGAGTCACAAGGATGTATATCCACAGAGAACAGCATGAGAGACACAGGATGAAACTGACCAAAATCAACAGGCAAAAATATTGCCTTCCTCCCAAGATGTACCACTATGCACCATAAAATTAAAAATCGTGAATCAACCCTTTATTTTATGACCGCATTAATATAAAAAAATAAAAAGAATTATGGCTCATTAACAACCAGGAAAAAAAAACTGAACTTAAATCTGATATGCATAGAGAGAAATTAGTCTCATCTCACCAATAAGCAAAATTCCTCTCAGGTACTTACCTTTTCTCCCATTCCGTAGCTCTGCATTTTCCAGAATGTTCTATAAATGAAGTATGTACCATACTGAGTCTTACTTCTTTCACTTATCAGTAAGCATCTGAGATTCAACCACTCTACATTTTCCTACAGGTATCAATTCTTTTCTTTTTATTCCCGAATATAATCTCATTGTATGGAAGTACTGAAGTTTGTTTACCCGGTCACTGGCAAAAGGACATTTGATTCCAGCTTTTGGTTATTACAAATAAAGCTGTCATAAACATTTCTACAAAAGTTTTTGTATGAATGTAAATTTTTTTACCGTCAAAAGAGAAAAGGAAAGATACACCAATTTGAATGCAGAGTTCCAAACAACAGCAAGAAGAGATAAGAAAGCCTTCCTTGGTGATCAATGCAAAGAAATAGAGGAAAACAATAGAATGCAAAAAACTAGAGATCTCTTCAAGAATTAGAGATACCAAGGGAACATTTCATGCAAAGATGGGTTCGATAAAGGACAGAAATGGTATGGACCTAACAGAAGCAGAAGATATTAAGAAGAGGTGGCAAGAATACACAGAAC